TTTCAACATTTATTCAATAATTTATTTTTCAATTCCCCACTACCCTCACTACCACCGACAAGTTGAAACTTTTTTATCAACATTTATTCAAGAATTTATTTTCAATTCCCCACTACCCTGAGTTCTACCATTTATATACAAATCAATACACATCTTTATTTTTAAAATTTAAATTATTACTACTTTTACTACCTTCTATTTACCTCACATAAAGCTAATGTGAAAAATAAGGCATTTTATACATACAGCCCTATATTTCCCTATATTTCCTTAATGTGGTAAAAATCTATAAAATTTAATACATTTTTGGAAATCCCTTGGACTCTGTAAATAAAATTTGCAAAAAAAAAGATAAATTTACAAAATTTCAAATATTTATTGCAAAATCACTTACTTAGCGAAAAAAAATGTGCAAAAACACAATACATTATTGGACCAGGCAAATTCAAAATTGTAGAAATATTTGCAAAATTTTCAAAACATACAGATCAAAAATCCATGCAAAAATTCTTCGTAAACCTCTTGATCTTTTAAATAACGAATTTACACCAATCAGAGTGCAAAAAAGTAGGGATAAGTAAATTTGAGATTAAGGCGCGCGAGTAATGAATTCCTGTGTTTTATGTGCTTTACCACAATACTGTACAGTCCTGTTTTATGTGCTTTACCACAATACTGTACAGTCCTGTTTTATGTGCTTTACCACAATACTGTACATTTCTGTTATATGTGCTTTACCACAATACTGTACAGGTCTGTTTTAGTTTATAACAAAATGTCGGCAAAAAACAATAAAAAAATAGTAATAATGAAACTTTAATTTGGATTCGGCAAAATATCAGATTAGGTCTAGAATCATTCCACTTCTTAATATAGTTAGATGTTTATTTCTTAATTTTTTAAATAATTTATTCAAATAATTAAAATAGTTATCATAATAGAAACCTGATGTTAAAGTTGAGAAAGGTTTTGTGTCTTTATTTCCATCCTGTCCCTAAACAAATCAAATTTAAATCTAAAATATATTTAAAGATATGTTTGATTAGATTTTTACTAGAATTATTAAAATTGATTATTTAAATTAACCAAGAAGAAAGAGAGGTGAGAGTGGCCGCATACATACTTTTGCTCCTGTATAAGGGAAACAGTTGCCTCCCCCTTCAAGTTATAAATATAAAAATTTTCAAGGCAAAAACAACACGGGAAATTTACTCATTCATTAAAAACAGAATTTGAAAAAAAAAAACAATTTAACCTAACTTAACCTAACTTAGTGTCCTGGGATACTGAGGTAGAGTAAAAATTTTTAATTATCGAGAAATAACAACAACAACAACAACAACAACAACAACAACAACAAAAACAACAACAACAACAACAACAACAACAACAAAAACAACAACAACAACAACAATAGCAACAACAACAATAACAACAACAACAACAACAACTCCAACAACAACAACAATAACAACAACAACAACATTTTCAAGTAAAATTCAATCTGTTCAAGTAAACTTCGAACCATAGTAAAAATTAAGAATTAAACTAAATAAAGTATTCCACAAGAGTGGCAGTCTGCCAGACAGTGTTTAGTTTAACTAGTACTAACCTTGAGTAAAACCTTGGTGATCTTTTTCTTCTCCTTCTCTTCTCTCCCCTCTCCTTGCTCCTCCCTTCCCTCCTCTTCCCTCCTCCCTCCATTCCTTCCTCCCTCCAATCCATATTCTGCTAGGTCTAGCTTTCTCTTCTTAGGCAGCATTATTTGCTGAACACAGTTTGATAACTTCCAGTCATTTTATCCTAGAACTGAGTAGAGGACAGTACTCCTGGTGTATAGTGAGTACTAGAGGCCCAGTAGAGGCCAGCCTTAGGCCTCCCTCTCAATACTATATGCACTGTGTAGAGTCTATATTACACCTCAACCGTGTAGAGTCTAGAACCTCGGTAATACATGAGATATTTATCGTTCATCTTTTTCATATTGATGATGTCATTTTGCTTTTAGGGAAACTGAAATTAGGAGGAGGGGGGGGGAGGTGATTTTTGGGAATCCAAATTCTTAATGTTTTTAGGAGGTCAGAGGCTTTCTACTGACATTGAAACTTCATTCATCCGATACAGCAGACAGACACAGCTCTCACCTGCAGACAAACAAACAGCTTTCATATTTTGCTTTCTCTCCCACCAGATAGATTTATCATACTTTATCTATCTACTGTCTACTATCTACTATCTACTATCTACTATCTACTATCTACTATCTACTATCTACTATCTACTATCTACTATCTACATTATCTACTGCCTACTATCTACTATCTACAATCTACTATCTACATTATCTACTATCTACTAACTACTATCTACTATCTACTATCTACCATCTAATATCTAATATCTACTATCTACTATCTACTATCTACTATCTATTATCTACTATCTACTATCTACTATCTACTATCTACTATCTACACTATCTACTATCTTCTATCTACTATCTACTATCACCTATCTACTATCTACTATCTACTGTCTACTGTCTACTATCTACTATCACCTATCTACTATCTACTACATATATCTTATTATTACTACATCATTGTTTTTGTATAAGAATAAGGTTAAATGTAACCTGAAAGTGGTAATCTCCTAGTTAAGAATATGTACTCTTTAACCTTTATCAACTAGAGTAGACATTTTTACAAATCTGAATTAATTTCTTTTTTGTTTAAAGTCTTCAATCTTTATCTCAAGAGCTATGACGTTAAAATACTAGTTTTGCTAAGAATTAACTATTTTCCTATTGTTTTCTCTTAATTAGACTTAAAAACTATGCAAAGAGAGTAATGGGGTGGTTAATATTCTACATTGACGTATGAGGACAGCTTTTTGAACTTTTATTGAAAACAATAATAAATAATGTACAGCAATCGGCGTATCTATGAATACAATGAAGACGACTTCTTATTTAAATTTTTGACTTCTACCAAACTTTTATGAAAACTATAAGAGAAGCTGTCAATCAACAGCTTGTCTGTGTAAACTTGTAAAAACCTTGTTAGAAATCATAACTTTATTGGAAAAGTCGTCTTCTTAGTATTATTATAAACGCCGACCCATGTAAAAAAGGTCGGGATTCCTGAGCAATCAAAGTTCACTTTACTGTAGATTAAAATTGTGTATTTAGGCACAAGATTCAGAATTTTTCACAATACTCCTTCAAAACAATGGCTAGAAACAAGCGCTAAGCTTCTTTAAAATATTTAAATCAAGGGCTACAAAAATGTAAATGGATGATTGATTGTGAGTGTTTGATGGTGATATCGTTGTTAATTTTTTTCCAGTGTTTCTGTAAATCACTTTTCTGGGTAACCCCAAATAAAAAAATAATCACGTTAAAAAATTATGCATATCTCATTCTTTCTTAATCAGACAAAGATATTGTGAATAGGACATGCCACTCAATAGATGGAATAACGTCATCAGCAACCTGTCCCTTTAAACATAACGCATTGACGTACTTATTCTCATAGGCTTAACAGTAAAGCACTGTTCTTGATCTTACACTGTACACTGTAGACTCTGTACACTGTAGACTCTGTACACTGTAGACTCTGTACACTGTAGACTCTGTACATTGTAGACTCTGTACACTGTAGACTCTGNTAGACTGTAGACTGTAGACTGTAGACTGTAGACTGTAGACTGTAGACTGTAGACTGTAGACTGTAGACTGTAGACTGTAGACTGTAGACTGTAGACTGTAGACTGTAGACTGTAGACTGTAGACTGTAGACTGTAGACTGTAGACTGTAGACTGTAGACTGTAGACTGTAGACTGTAGACTGTAGACTGTAGACTGTAGACTGTAGACTGTAGACTGTAGACTGTAGACTGTAGACTGTAGACTGTAGACTGTAGACTGTAGACTGTAGACTGTAGACTGTAGACTGTAGACTGTAGACTGTAGACTGTAGACTGTAGACTGTAGACTGTAGACTGTAGACTGTAGACTGTAGACTGTAGACTGTAGACTGTAGACTGTAGACTGTAGACTGTAGACTGTAGACTGTAGACTGTAGACTGTAGACTGTAGACTGTAGACTGTAGACTGTAGACTGTAGACTGTAGACTGTAGACTGTAGACTGTAGACTGTAGACTGTAGACTGTAGACTGTAGACTGTAGACTGTAGACTGTAGACTGTAGACTGTAGACTGTAGACTGTAGACTGTAGACTGTAGACTGTAGACTGTAGACTGTAGACTGTAGACTGTAGACTGTAGACTGTAGACTGTACACTGTAGACTGTAGACTGTACACTGTACACTGTAGACTGTACACTGTAGACTGTACACTGTAGACTGTTCACTGTATACTGTACACTGTAGACTGTACACTATATACTGTGTACAGCTGTATAATGAATATGAAAGAAGGAAACTGAGTACTGAACGTATAACGTCAACTAAAAGATACTCTAGTCTAGGCACCACCACTAGCTCTGAAAGGTGTCCTAAAAATATTATTCTAAATGTGCTCGTCATTTATTCCATGATCAAAAATATCCTAATTATAAAAAAAATAAAACGGAATTTTTTTTGTTAATTGTATATTTTTTGGAGCAAAAGTCAGCTGATCAGGGCAGGCTAGGACTAAGGCAGTAACAGGGCTAAATATAATCAAATATTGAAAAATTCAAATTTTATAAAAATCTACCGGATTTGCGCGTTAAAAAAAACTTTTTCACTTTTTTGTAAAAAAGTATTTTAGCATATAGTAAGAGATAGTAATACAGTGAACTAGACATAGTGAAATATTTTCAGATAGATAGATAGTTAGAAAGATAGTGAGATGGATAGATAGATTTTTAGTAATTCATATTTATTTCATCAGAAAGATTTGACAAAGGAAACATATGAAATGTAACAGATATATGACAGATGAAAATAAACAGCTGACAGCTGAATTTGACAGTTTTAAGTAGCTTTATGGTCCCCCACTACTCTGTTGCTATGCTGACATCTACCTTAC